ATTATTTATAATTAATTTATTAATAAAAATAAAATAAATTTATTAATTGCAATATAAGATATTTAATTTACCTAAAAACTCAGAATCATTCTTTGTAAAATTAGCATCTAAAAATATTTAAGTTTAAAATTAATAAATAATGTTAAAATAATTTATAATACTTAAGTATTCAATATTATTCTATATAAAATCTATATTTTATATTTTTAATTTTATTATTTACTATTATTAATAATAAAAATTAATTAAATTACCTGAATGATCAAAATCACTTTTTGTAAAATCTACATTTAAGGATTCTTAATTTTAAATTATAATTAAATTATTAATAAATAATATATAAATTTAGTAAATATTATATAAAATTATTTAATTAACCTGAATTATCTGATTGATAATTTGTAAAAATTATTATTTTAAGTTTAAATAATTGAAAATATTATTAATAATACTATTATTTACCTGATAATTTAGGATTATTCTTTATAATATTAGCATCTAGAATATTTAAGTTTAAAATTAATAATAATTATTAATTTTAAAGTATAATAGATATAAATTATAATAACCAAAATATTTAATATTATGTTTTGTAAAATCTACATTTAAGAATTCTAAATTTATTATAAAATTTATTTAATTTTACCTGAATTTTATAATTTATAATTTATAATTTGTAAATCAGTATTTAGTAAGGATTTTATTTAAGCAATAAAAACTTTTATCAATTGTACTATTAATTACCTAAGGATTTAAAATCATTTTTTGTAAAATCAACACCTAAGGATTCTTAAGTTTAAAAATTGATATTATAATTGAACCATTTAATAAATAAAAATTATAATTCAGTACATTTACCTGAGCATTCAATATCATTCTTTGTAAAATTCTTATTTAAGAATTCTGAAAATAATGATTTATAAATTAGCTTATTTATTAAATTAATATGAAATCAACTAAAATTAATTTAATTTACCTGAAAATTTAGTATCGGTCTTTGTAAAATCTACACCCAGGGGTTCTAAAATTGACTAAATAAATAAAATAATTCATTGAGATACAAGCCAAAATTTTATTTATTTACCTGAACATTTTGAATCCTTCTTGGTAAAATCCATATTCAAGGATTCTGGAATTAATTATTTAAAAATATTTATTAATAGAATTAAATTTAAATGAAATAACTAAAATAATAAAAAAATTCTTTACCCGAACATTCAAGATCTTTAACATATAAACTTTTACTTGTAAGTAAATGTGCTGAAGTATTTGATGCTTTTGATTTTGATTTGAAATATAAACTATTGTGCTCATCTGCTTCTTTACATTGCTTACGAAATTCGGCATTATCGTTTTTATTAGTTGATCGATACCATCTCAGAAATGTATTATTCAATTCATTAGCTGTAGGACGCATTGATGGATCTTCTGTTAAACAACGATCAATCAATTCTTTCACTAAGGGTGGTACCTTAAAATTATTTTTAAATGTTGGTCTGAGTCCTTGACATATTCTTAACATAAGAAATGGGTTATATGTTAAATCATTATGTGGTGGTAATGCTTGAATGATTTCATATAAACATATTCCGAATGAATAAATGTCAGCTGCTTGAGTGTAAGGTTTCCCTCTTAAAACCTCTGGAGCAACATAAGGTAAAACTCCATAAAGTTCTTTTTGATCACCATTTGCTTGTTCATTTGCAGGACTACATAACCCTAAATCAGAAATGTAACCGCCATCACCACTTAATATATTGCCCAAATGAAAATCTTTATGAATATA